CCTAATGATGGTGAGGAGCCAGAGCAGTAAGTTTTGGAGAGAAAGAATGGTGCTTAACACCAAAGAGAGGAAAACAGCTTAACTGGAAACATAAGTGTTTCTGTTGTGACTTGTCAGTCTGCTAGCAAAGTTATCATTTGTGAGTATACAGTAGCAATTGGCCTAAAAAATCAGATTAATTTATTATATAGCTTGTGGTGTATTTTTTAAGGTGCACTTTATTTTTCACTTATATGTTTAAATATTGAGAATTTCAATGTATGGTTCTGCAGATGGCTGTAGGAGTTGGGAACAGAAATCCAGTACCTTCATTGAAAAGCATTGGCTGCAAGTAATACTGGTTTTGACTGCATTGTACTTTAATATCAGATTAGTGTTTAGCATCAAGTAAGTCATCCCTGATATGTGAGCTTTTATTTTTCAACAGGATCACTGCAGAAAATTTTCATTACTTCATAGCGTGTTCTTATAAATGACATCAAAATAAACTCGTGACCCATAAAAATAGCTTTCTATATTAGAGCCACACTATGGTCACACAGAATATACAGATGTATTACATAATGTAGTAAGCCAAAATTAAAAAAAAAAAAAAAAAAAGGCAGGTGACCCTGTGTGCCCAAGCTGAAAATACTTCTCCTTTAAAGGGCTGTATTATCTGGCTATCCATCATCAGGAAAGCTCTCGCTGTGAGCATCCAAAATCCACACACCTAAAACCACTTGTCTTTTTTTTTTTTCCATTCTTTTTAAAGAAAAAAGGATCTAAATGAAAGGAGAAGGAGAAGTAATAAAGAACTGGCATGGATCTATGTACATCTCTGTAGAACAATGGGGTATGAAGGCTATGAGCTAGACCCAGATATTTGAGTGAATCCCAGACTTTCTGCATATTACCTACACACTACTCTTGAGATAAGTCATATCAAATAATAAATATAAGCTGTGTAGCCAAGCAGAGTAGAGAACAATAACCTGTCCAGTACACTTTATCAACATAAAGTCATAGTCCAACAGCCAAGGGGAAGAATAGGAATCAGGAATTAAGTTTGATCAGTTGCTATTGCTTGCAAGAACTCCAGAGGCCTTACAGAAGAGACAAATGTAAATTAAGTCCAGTGGCACAGGATAAAAAGTTCAGTCTTGAGGTGAGAATGTTTCTTTTTGGGGAGAATATAGGAAATGTTTCTGTACTGGAAGAATGCAACCAACCATAAAAGTAAACATTCCCATTCTGAATTATTTACTCTATATTTTAGTAAGGCAAAAAACCATACAAAGAGCAAAGCAGAAAGCATAAAATTTGAAATAGGTCTTCATACCCCAGGAGGCTGTACATCCCTAGGGTGTATCCCACGCAGGAGGCATCCCTCTCCACTGTCAAGGATGTCCCCCTTTATGTTAATTATTCTTGAACTTTACCCTTTCCTATCCCAAGTGAATAGGTTGACCACTAAATTGTCATGTCAGCTTCTCGTTTTTTTTTCTTTCATTCTCTCCAGTGTAATAACCATTGTAGTATTTACATTAAATGAAACAGCTTCAGCAGGAGCTAATGAGGCAGACGGTGTTCCTGCATGTTCCTCAACCCTACATATGTAATAGCATTTCAGTTCGGGGAACTTTCCTGCGATTGAGAAGACTGAGTTTCAAATTCCTACTGCCTGTCAGGTCGCATGGCTTTTAAAACTGTCACCCCAGGTTAGTATCTTAGCCATTGGATATTAAGTTAAATAGAAGAAAACAAATTTGTCTTGTTACATTTTGTCCAATGGCTGTACACACCTCTCTCACTCTCTACGCATATAAGCATCCACGTGTATGCGCGTGCACGCACACACACATGCACACAGATATTCATGTACTGGCCCTGCTTTCAACAAACAACTCGTTCAGCCTCATGAAGGGGATCCCACCAGCTTCGGGTTGTGCTGCAGAGCCGATGGCACCGACCGCTTAAACTCTTTGGAGCGACAGCAACTGCTGCGTCTCCTCCCCTGGGAGGGGAAAGCCGTGCGCCGGCAGGTGAAGGCCGGCTAGATAGAGTGAGGGCTAGCGGTCGCAGGGGAAGAATTGTGCCCAAACCCAAATTGTTAACTACCTCCTCCCTGCTCTGCTGATGATCAGAACGACACATCAGACTAGAAGGAGAGCAGGATCCCCACTTGTCAGGCTGATGAATAACTGAACTGGTTCTCTTGAAGCCCCAATTAACCCCAAAACCTCTTTCATAGAAACAAGTGTTCAACCAAATAGAACTGATGATTTCTGGACATGGAGGTTTAAAAATTTCTCTTAGACTTTCTGCATGACAGTCTACAAAAGCCAGTTTGTTCCCTTCCAGAATTTCAGGATTAGTTCCCAAATGTCCTTGACTAAAGTCTCGGCAAATAGTTTTATTTAGATGTGAAAGGAAAAATAACTTGTCTTGTTCACTCCATTCCAAGTTTCTAGTGCTCAGCGCCCATGAAATGGATTGCTTATGGGGAGATAATGTCTTTCTTGTGTCTTCCAAAGTCTGTGAAAAATGTCTTCCTGGTTAATAGGTTGATTAAAACTGTATATGCTCCAGAAGATAAATATGATTATTTATCATACTTGCCCAAGATAATGACAGTAAAGAAGACAAGGTTGAAATTCTGTATGATTTCCTCTCTTCCACATCCAGGGACATTCAGCACACAATACACAGATGGTGTGCCACATAAAGCATCGCATTAACTGTTAAACATTTTTTTCTTCCCATTAACTAATTTAACAATATGCCCCTGCTATTAAAGAAATAGACAAATTACAGAAAACTTCTGTCAGCTTAATCCCGATGGCTAAAATAGACCATTTGCCGAGATGGGATTGTTTTCTGGCCTATCAGGTTCAAAACCTCTAGAAATTCGGCAGCCACCAGCCCAGACTCTCGCAGTGTTGATTCAGCTCTTCATCCTTAATTGAGTTTCAGGCATGTAACTCTCCGGAGATTTTTGAATGACAGCTACCCTGCTCTGCATGTATGTTAGGTGACCTGAATTTTCTAAAATGATGAGCGTGGTTTAAGTCAGCAGATGCTGTAGGTGATAAAACTCACAGCAAAAGCCCCTGAGACTTTTTTGCCAGAGTGGGCAGTGAACCAAATTAAACAAGCATTTCCAGTTTGTTATCATTTGCCACCTTCTACAGCAAAGACACTGTTACTGACCTTGGGGCTGGTGGTACTGTGGAGGCTCCCTTGGTAAGCAGGAGAATGGTGGAGCAGCCTGCCCATCACTGTTCCTCACACAGTCATCTGCCATACTGATCTCTTTTCAACACCATTTTCCTATTTCTCTTTTTGCTTCTAAGCAACATAGAAGTATGGAGGGAGCTCATGTATTATGAAGTACTAGCCTACAGGCTCATTTTAGGCACACACATGGCCTCCATTATTCCTATAACTCAATGTGACCAGAAAGTTGGTGAAGAATCGGTGTAAATGAAACACTGAGGCCAGCTGAAAAGTGACTTGAAACAACTTGAAACTCACTGCAGCTGTGCTACATTACCCAATTTGAATAGCAGTGTTGCAAACATCCCCTTATTTTAGCGTAACTTTTTGCACAGGAAAAGTTGATAATGAAAATAAACTTCCTCTTCCATGGTTTATTCTTACACTCTCCCTTGACGCAGAAAGAGTGTAAGCAATTTTTTTAAATAAAAGAGAAAGCAATTAGAGAGCCACTGGACCCACCAACTTGTCTTGTGCCAGTGTCTATTTCCAGTATTTAAGTCTTGAAACTTTATTTTTTTGATGTATATTGTTTGTTGTTGGATTTTGCTTGATTTTGTTTGTTCAGTTGCAATAACTGCATACGTTATGGTATCTAGCTGGTGTATTGGTGTACTAGGTACTTTTCACCTCTATTTGTTCAGGGTTTTGTTGTGGTTTCCAGTAACTTTTTGCCAAATATTTTCATAGAGAGAAAAAATGAACCATTAATCACAAAACCAGCAGAACATTCACCAAGTGAAAAGAGCTGCACAGTGCAATAAAGAAAATCCAAGATCTCCCATGTTTTTTCATGTGGATTGAGACTTGATTTACTTTTACATTATCCTTGCACTCTTCTACACAAACCTTTATCTAGAGAAAACCTATTTCCAGCCAAAAGCACAGAATAAAGCTTGGAAGAAGATGATCTATGAATTCCTCTCTCTTTGGAAGATGTTTTATGTTCAGCCTTATACCTCAACATGGATTTACTTGATCACTCTGTACTTGCCCTCTGAGTGTGATTCCACTGTAAAGATTTCTGTCTGTATATTTCACTATGTTAGGATTTTTTGAAGAGCATCATCTGGTATTGTCCATATAACTGGATACCTCCAGATTTAATTCATCCTATCTGTCATAAGGGAATTTTTTTTCTAGTACAGTTACACTGATCCAATGGCTAACCATTGCCAGAAGGGACAGCTCTCTTGTGCCAGGACTAGCACTTGTTTAACTCTGAGAGCTCTAAAGTGCTAGAAAACCACTCATTTTTCTTCCAGTTTCTCCTGAACTGTGTTCTCATGCAGCCACTGTGCTGATGGGAGGTAAGCAAGGGTAGAGCGGCTCTTTTCAGATGCAGCCAGCAGGTAGGTCAGGTCAGATGCTCTGTACAATTTCAGGAACAGCCATTCATTTCAGTAGAGTGCAAGTCACCCTCTGATCAGTCCTGTCTTTCTCCATTGACTGTGCAGGGAACTTGGGATGATTGATTCAGGTGAGTTACTTAATCCAGATAAAGACAAATGACCTGAATCCCACCTCAGAAACTAAAGGTAAGCAACCTTAAGGACATCATGTGATTTGCATTTATTTAGTTCAGTTTAGTACTTGACCAGTTTTAATGACATGGCTACTTGTTAAGCTTGGTAACTCAGCACTAATATGAGTAAGCATAGGCAATATAGGTATCACCATGCATACAAACTAAGAGAAATATGAAAATAGTACCATTTTTCATGTGCGTATGATGGCAGTATTCACCACAATTTATTTAATATTGGATTACAAGCATCAAGCTATGGAAAAGATGTCAACTATTACGCTTCAATTGCTTTAAAGATACTATTTTAGTGCTGTCATGTTTCATAGGAAAACCATACTTCTCTATTATTCATCTGACATTTAAAGCTTTTTTTTATGTTCTTTCCTTGGAATATAAAGACTTAATCACAAAAGACAGGTTTTAAGAGGACTTTATTAAATCTGACAACTGACTAATTGGACTGTGTGCAATTAATAAAAAAATCTGATAATTGAGCATTCAACAAAGGATTGTTCACTGATAGCTTTTTTTTTTTTTTTACTTCTGGATTTTTACAGATCTACAGTTCTGCAAATATAATGTTTGAGTAAGGCATTATTCTTCCTAGTTTACGCCCACACTTCACGAGATTACTGCAGTGTGGGAAATGTCATATTGCTTCTCCTGGTAGAAGAGCCACAGAAACTACTGAAATACAAAAAAACTAGCCCTGCCCATACACTTCCTTAGCTGAAAATATTCATGTAGGACAGACTGGGTGTCTCACTATTTTATACCTTTTTCATTTACAACTTAAACGGCTATACAAATATAGTAGAGACACTTATGCAAACTCTCAGATTCACTATTGTGGGATCTAATAAAAAAAGCTAATACTGAGAAAACAGTGCACTTTGTAGAGATCTCTTCTGATGCTCTACAAAGGAGCCCAGTAGGTCACTATTTGCATATGGGATGTTTTAAACTTTCCCTTCAGACATATAAAAATAGTTTGGTTTAGATACTTTCTCTTGCAAATTTAAATATCTCCTTTATTTTTAGAAGAGTGCACTGTATGCTTTACCTTCAGGCTCAGTAACAGATCTGTCACAATTGACTTGATGGTTACATTCCTAATGGGACATGTCACTGAAAGTACTGTTCTTTGTTTTCTGGAGAAATTTCCTAAAATTCCTCTTAAGACACAGGATGGGATAAAAGTTCATTGCCGTTTTGTCCTTATATTTACTACTGAAGATTGGTTTCTTCGTTAAGTCTTCATAAAATAGAGTCTTTTTTCAAGCTGGATCCGACTTATCTTAGAGGGTTCATTTCCTCACAAATGAACTATACCAAGCACGCTGAAAAGTAAAATATAAATTGTTTTGCTTTGTTTTGTTTTGAATTCCCTTGCTGCTAGATGTTAACTGGCATCCACAGGTTCAGTGAACTCAGTCAGTAACTTGCTCAGTCTGAGTTTTCTTCTCTATTTTTCGGATGGGACACTTCTGCTACTTCCACTCCTGTTCTTGCTGAAAAAAGACACTTCCAAATGGCTCTGAGTCTTTCACTTGGATTTAAGTAGGTCTTCCCATTCAACAGTGGACTCAGTATTTTTAGGAATTGCTGGAAACATTGATTGCATTTTAGTTTGGAATTCTTTCATCTATAAAAGAGATTAAGAAATGAAATTAGTTAACTGTTGGTAAGGAGCAAATAAAGTAGCACCATGAACCCCAGGCTTATTCCACAAAGTAAGCTGTGTGAGGTAAAGAAGAGGTAAAAAGACTTTAAAAATAACAGAAAATTAAGACTTTCCCTCTGATTATGTTGGTTTAATTAACAAAGCGAAAAAAATTATGGAGGGACCCACAACAATCCCCCCTTCTAAAGCACCACACTGACGTGCCTAATTTGGAACACTTGCCTGAATGATTCACTACTGTTATATGAACTACTATATATACACACACCCATTTAAAATGTTTTTGTTTAGAGGAAAATTACCTCCGTAGAATGGGCCCATATTTTGACTGCAGTGCCTTTTTCTACACTTGTAATGGATTAAAGGCCCAATAGGTCTGTTCAAGGATTTTAAAACAAGGATGAAAAAAAAATACTGGTCAGCTCTGACAGTTTGGGTTTATCCCACAGTATGGATACAGGTGACAAAACAAAGTCTTGTTCAAATTTAAACGTTAGTATAAATACACTATATATAGGACTAAGCTTGTCTTTCACTGTTTTTAAATTAAAATGCCGTGAAAGAGGAATTTTGCTAGTTTTATATTCTGTATATCAATACATTAATACCAACTGCCAAATCTATATTTATGACAACAGTTTTATCACCAATGTCTGATTCAATAGACATGCCAGTCCAAAACTAAATTTAATTTCTTTAAAAATCACTTCTGTTTGAAGATAATACTTAGATTTAGCGGGTTTCTTTCTTCCAAAATTTTTACATACATTTTTACATGTAATATATTTTTAAAGCATAGGCATAGAAAACATCAAATCAGTGAAAATCCTGTTACGCAAACAGCAGGATGTACAGGGGAAGTTTGGACTGGCATTTTTAGGAAGCTCTACAGAATCTATGACATTCACGCAGAGAAGACAGGATGTGGTATTCAAGTACTGGATGCAATGACCTCTTGAAGACCAAATGCTGTCTCAGGCAGTATGTCCCATGGAGAGGGTCCAGGAAATCTAGATATTCTGAACAGACACACGGGCATCTTCTTTAATATACTCTGTATTTTGTGTGCTATGGGTCATCATTTTTTTTACAAACACCTTTGGGCCATTTTCTGTTCAAGTCGTTCTACGTAAGAATAATTCTGACTTTAGAGAGATGTTGCTGGAATGCAATTATTCAAGTTAGAGCTGATACAAAGAATGAAACAATTTACAAAGAAATTACCAATCCTTTACTAAGACAATAACAAACTATGATGGATGAAAGCATTTTAGAACTCAAGCTTTTGTGTAAAAATGCCTGGGTACTGCTAATCAAATAAAAATACATGTTATATAAAGTAGGAGGAAAATTCAGAGCCAAATTATCCTTTTTGTTTTATCTGGATTGTGTGCTTATGTAAAAACTAATTCACTGTCTGCTTTATATTTTATTCTGATCAGATAGCTGTTTTGATTAATTATGTGTTCTTGGTTTTTAAAAACCTTGACAATCACCCACAATTGTTCCTAAACTAATATTTTTGTTTCTCATTTAAAAATGAAAAGCTCTCATAGACAGCTAATATTTTCAAGAATAACAAACACCACTATCAGAGCTGATGCAGAGAACAGCCCAAATTACATTAAACGATTGCTGACAATTAAATATAAGTATTTACAGTAGGAAATGCTTTAGGAGCTTTGGCTTAGCTGTTTTTTCCAGTCCTCTGTAATTAAGTTATCCCAGGTCTCTGATGTGCAGAAAGAATTCAATTTATTTAACATTTTTTACTTCCTAAAGAGTGAACCAACTCTTCTACTCTTTCATCTCAGTCTAAGTATTATCTGGGTGTTTGGTAACACAGGAATGGTCAGATCCTAACCTGATGTAAACTACTCTAGCTCAGCTGGCATAATTGGAAATTTTATACCAGATAATGGTCTGGTGCAATGCAGATTTTTTGGCTGTTTCTAAATTCAGACTTGTAAATTTGTTTTAGTGGCAAATTTAAATGACACACTCAGAAGCCCTACAGGACACTTCTGTTACTCCACTGAAGACACACAAAACCAAAGGAAAACTAAAAGCAATTATATAATAAAACCTCCAAAAAGAGGACAATGGGACAAATTTCTCCATTCAGAAAACTACAGTGCTTCCTCACTGTAACAGCTACCTTATAATTACTAACATGCCAAACCCTAACCCTCGAATACAAAAAACAATCTTGTCTGGGAAATAAAACACCATAGTTCTGTTCTGAAAGAAAAAAGGTATTTATTTAGAAAGCACTAAAACACTGCTAGCAGCTGCAGATTTAAGAACATTCAGATTTTTCTCTCCTCAGAATGCTAATTTATGTTCTGCAGGTAATAGCAACTCATTTCCTGGAAAAGCAATTTTTCCTTAACACTTGGACCAAACCTGAAATATTCAACATCTTTCTTTTGCTTTTAAGACTCCCTGAGAAATTTCTTCAGCATTGTCTTCTCAGATTTTGATGCTTATTTGTAAAACCTCTTTTAAGTGATGCCAGACTCAACATCTCATTTACCATTTCCTCTCTTGCCAGCATCTATGCCCTTTTCCACAAGCCCCCTCTGCACAAAAATAGTTTTTCATTGCAGTTCACAACTTTGACCATGTTTTATATTTTTCCACACACTTTCTTCCTTTGTGATTCCTGGACAGTGAGCTATTTTAATAAATCATAATGCCAAGCTGACCACCACTATGCATTCTCAATGTTATGCTTTAAGTTGTCAGCTATTTAAGAAAATTACCTACAGTGACTGGCATGGGCCTCACTAATACACAAGGTCTTCACTTCACGGTATGTCTAAATGGGGCCAATTTCTTCACAGTACAAATGTCACAGCTACCAACTCTTACTAGAAGTTTTCATTTCTATACAATTTAAAAGATACCACACCCTATTATTTCTCTCCACAAGTTTTTGAGTTCTCACTAATAATACATTAAGCAACGCAATTAGTACTAGTCACAGACTTCTATTTTCCTCGTCTCCCTCTCCTCCCAGCAAGAAAGTGCAGTATGGTATTTCATTAGGGCTTTGATCTGGACTTCTAAGGTATCTCCCCCTTCTCTTCTGTTCCACTAATAACACCAGCTTCTGAGTTTCTTCCTCCATTTCCACATTTGTTCTTGTTCCTATCCTGAATGTACTTCCAAATGCTTGCCACTGTCCTCCCTGCATTCTGAGCTCCTCTAAAGTTCACTTGCCACACTGCCTACAAGCATTGAGAAGACTTTGAAAAATAACTGTTCTCTGATGTAATGGAACCAGTGTATACACACATAAATAACCATGGAAACTGCACCCCAAAGTTCCTATCCCTTCTCTCCCAGTGACAATGTCTGCCTGCTTATGAATGGCTCTAGTATCAAATTTTAGGCCATGACTTCTTTCAGTCAGAGACCGTCAGCTCAATATCCTGGGCCTTGACTGGCCAAACCCTATTTAATATATTTAGGACTAAATTTGGCCTGCAAAGTAACTCAGACTGGCCTTGGGGTTGTTCTTGCTTGCATTTGGTTGACAGTATCATACCAGGCCCATTGGAACTTCAGATGATCCTAGTAGTGAAGGTAAAATTTGTTCACTAAACATGTAAATTAGCTGTCCTTCAACAAATTGGGCTTACTGGTGTCCAGTCACCTCCTGCAGTGTGCTGAGTTTCTTGTGAAGATGATAAATCTAGCTTTATGTTCTATTAATATGGCACACTTGAGGTGCAAGGATTGGGACCTTGTCTTTACCTGCTTTACCTCTCAGGGGACAAGCACACTTCTTGATGAGGGAAATGCTACAATTAGGAATCTGTGTCTTGCCTTGCCTTTTCTTTTTAGTAGGCATACTAGTCGGGAGGTCTCTTCTCTTCTCTCCCTTCCTGGAAATCTTCTCCTGTATTTCCTCCAGATTCCACAATACACATGCCAGTGGTCCCAAATCAAAAGGCATTAATTTAATTATGAAAGCTAATGTGCTATATGCTAAGTACTGGAATGTTTTGAAATAATTCACTGAAATGGCTGCCTCTTTATTATTGTCAGCCACACTGACACTGGGGTACTCGGTTCAACTGTGATAATGTCTTCAATTAATGCTGCAGTAAACCGAGCACTAAAAGCTGATTGTATTTTACCTCTTTCTGCTGCCATCAGTATCACAGGCCACTCTCTCAGCTGCTGCTTCTGAACCTAGCAGTACACGAGTGGCTTGTAACACATTTCTTGATTTAACATTCCAGCATGCTCCATTCCTGGAGGCAACTCTGAAGTGAATTTCACTCAAGTGAATTTTATTTTTTTTATCACAGATATTGCAAAGCTTGACGCTGTTTTTTCTTGCCAAATAAATTACAGTAACTGTTCCACCTCTGACTGTCAGGCTTCTTTCTAAAAGGGTATCATCTACCTTACTGCATTAAATAATCTGTAATAGCTACAGATCACTGTTATTTTCTTATCTTAACCTAATGATCCTGCCTCAGGTGGCAAAAATATGGGGACCTAAAAGCATCTTCCATTTAATAATCTCTTTTTAATGTACATCGTTGACAGAATGTCACGCAAAAATTGGGCTAGCACTATTACTGAGAGCACTTACGTGGCCGTTCATACTAAAATGAATGGAAGAGAGGCTAAAAGAGTCTATTTGAATCCTAGAATGAAAGTTTTAGGAAGAAATGTTCTCTTTAATGTCTGACATCCATAATAAGCCAACCTAGATTCTAGGAATTATTAGTTTCCTATTTTAGTACTCATACCAGTAAGAACTGCTTACATTAGCTTCCAAGTGAAATGAGGTTAGATGCCCTGAACCGGAATATCGACTGGCAGCAGAATACAGTATGTACATGCCCTGTGTTCTCCTCAGCCACCTTCCATTTCATGAGGGATGGAGATGGGCTGCCCTGGACTTAAAAGCATCAGAGAGGATTGTTCTTGCCACCTTT